CCATGTGCAGATTTCCTGGCAGGCACAGCACTTTGGGAACCTCCATGTGCAGGTGCAGCATTTTGTGAACCTCCCTGTGCAGATTTCGTGGCAGGCACAGCACTCTGCACCTCCATGTGCAGATTTCGTGGCAGGTGCAGCACTTTGTGAACCTCCACGCGCAGATTTCCTGGCAGGTACAGCACTTTGTGAACCTCCATGTGCAGATTTCGTGGCAGGCGCAGCACTTTGTGAACCTCCATGTGCAAATTTCGTGGCAGGCACAGCACTTTGTGCACCTCCATGTGTAGATTTCTTCGCAGGCACAGCACTTTGTGAACCTCCATGTGCAGATTTCGTGGCAGGCACAGCACTTTGTGAACCTCCATGTGCAGATTTCGTGGCAGGCACAGCATCCGGGGAGCTGGAAGCTGGGAACTGGCGACTTCGTAGTACAACTTTAGTACACGGAGTATCTGGCGAGCTGGACGAGGAGAACTGGCGACTTTGTAGTACAACTTTACGACGCGGAGTATCTGTGGAGCTGGATGGTGAGAGCTGGCGACTTTCTAGTACAACTTTAGTACGCGGAGCAATCTGTAGAGCTGGAAGCTGAGAACTGGCGACTTTGTAGTACAACTTTAGTACGCGGAGTATCTGTGGAGCTGGATGGTGAGAACTGGCGACTTTCTAGTACAACTTCAGTACGCGGAGCAATCTGTAGAGCTGGAAGCTGAGAACTGGCGACTTTGTAGTACAACTTTAGCACGCGGAGTATCTGGCAAGCTGGACGATGAGAACTGGCGACTTTGTAGTACAACTTCAGCACGCGGAGCAATCTGTGCAGCTAGAAGCTGAGGACTGGCGACTTCGTAGTACAACTAGAGTTGTACTTGCGAACAGTGTAGTACGCGGAGGAGTCATCTTTCGCTGCTCATTCATCTCTCGCTGCTGAGTCAGCTCTCGCTATAGCCATCTCTCGCGGCTGAGTCATCTCTCGCGACTGAGTCATCTCTCGCTGCTGAGTCATCTCTCGCGGCGTCAGTTCATACTGATAGTATTTGGTTGCAGTTATGCAGGACAGGACATTCAACTGCTGGTCAAGACACCACTCATCATACACCAGTCAGCATACACCACTCATCATACACCACTCGTCATACACCACTCATCATTCATCACTTGTCATACACCCCTCATCATACAAGACTCATCATACATAGTCTCAGAGTTCAAGACAGATTTTACATTCAAATTCGGATTCCATTCAGTCCGATGTGTGATATGCAAGGTTTGCCGCCACTGAAGAATGCCACGGTGGGATGTGTGTCGATGTGGACCGCATCCTTGGCAAGTTGTGGTGGCCGGATGTGTGTCTTCTCTCGCAGGGGGCACACACACCTTACACACGTGGAATCCCGTGGGTCAAAAGTCCGGAGCGCGTGCGTTTGACTGGAGGACGCGCGTGTTGGAGAGAACGTGGACACTCCTACGGCTTGCCCGGGAACTACTTGTAGCTTCTTGTTACTACTAGTAAGGCACTTGTTACTACTAGTAAGGCACTTGTTTCTAATAGCTTCTTGTTACTACTAGCAGTGAGACGTCCAAAAGACTGACAGGTCATCAGCTTCAACCACCTGATCGCTTGCTGCGAGTCGAAGAATGCCCCGCGGGCCCTTGAGCTCCTCCAGCAGCTCCGACATACCCGGCTACAGCCCAACCGGGTCACGTGCCGCGGCGCGTCAAGCGCAGTGGTTTCGCGTCAACGGCGCAGTTTCGATGGAGTCTACACCATAAAAAAGGCGAGACGAAGTGAGAACGACGCAAGGTCTCCTTTGGTTGAAGTGAAGAATACGAAAGAATCCTTTTGTGCCCGGGGGTAGTAACTACCATGAAAGTAAGCTTAAGGGAGTAGCTGCAGCTAGGCTCCAACGAACGCTCAGGCTTCAAGGAAGCTCCCCCGTCAGGCGGGCTTCCTTGAAGCCCTTGCACTATTCATTTGGTTCGAGAAGCTGAACCTAAAAGCTTCAAAGAAATAAACAGATGTTGTTCCCATGAGTAGCCATCCGGAGGAGTGGCAACCTGAGCATGACTGTGACATTTCTCGCCCGAGCCGGTGAGGTACAACGCGCTCATTGCCTGCTGCAAAAGGGGCAAGTTGCAGAGCCAAGTTCCTTGATCCTATTAGCTGTAGAGCTGTCAGTAAACAATGTAAACAACGATCACTACCTTAGAGAAAGGCCTGCAGTCTAACCGTCATCATCCACTGTTACTGGTGTTTGTCATTTAGGCTTTGTCACTGCCCCGGAACTGTCTCAAACTTAGGGCCCTTGAGTCGAGTGGAAACGAAGCGAAACGGATTGTGCCGAGATTCAAACTGGTAGCGGAGCTGGACAGCTTTGCCTGCAAGGTAAACCAACAAACCCTCACCTCCATGCAGGTGCTTACTGCAAGCTGGAGTGTTTGCTGCTGGCGTTGTGCACTGCAATATAAGCTTGCATGAATGCTTATCAGAAGTGGCCCATCGGTTTGAGGCGTAGTGGTGGTTGACTTTGAGTGCAATCTCTTTGTCCCACCCTCCCTCCCTAATTGAATGGCATGGTAGGTGCCTTCTCTTAAGCGGCCCATGTGCTGCCGGGTGGGTTATGGGGGGGCTCTGCTGCAGGTGCTGACCTGCCAGCCCTGCAGCATCCCCCCTGCAATGGTGGTCCTCCAAAATAGTGCACGTGCTTGGAGAGGGAGGGTTGGACAGCTTTGCCTGCAAGGTAAACCAACAAACCCTCACCTTCATGCAGGTGCTTACTGCAAGCTGGAGTGTTTGCTGCTGGCGTTGCGCACTGCAATATAAGCTTGCATGAATGCTTATTTGGTTTGAGATTGGCTTGAGGTGTAGTGGTGGTTGACTTTGAGTGCAATCTCTAGCCATTTTGGCTCAAGAAGTAGCCCATTGGTTTGAGGTGTAGTGGTGGTTGACTTTGAGTGCAATCTCTTTGTTTAGGTTTCTTGTTCTCTCCTCCTGTTTTGCTGCTATGAAGCGTGAGGTCAGACCCAGTAGATTCCAGGTCAATTCTGGCAATCCTGGTGCCCCTCCGCCCAAGACACGCCGCTTGGTGTTTGTCTCTCCCTTCTCTTTGGCAGCTGAGCCCCAGCAGGGGGTGCATGCTTTGCCTCCGCCGCGGTGCGCGTGTCCCAGCAAGTGCTTGCCCTCATCCCGGTCTTGCAGACCAGCTTGTTTCAGCGCGACAGCTAGAAGACGAGGAGCGTCAACAGCTGGCTCGAGCTTGGGTTGTGTGCGCAAAGAGGGTGGCAGTCTACAGCTCCTGGCTACGGAATGCTGGCGCTATGTCAGAGGCTAGCATGCAGCACGTGTTTTGCGATCGTGCCCCCTCAACATTAAATAAGCACCTGCAGGGTTGGCTGCGCTGGTCCTCTTTCTGTGATTTGTCAAACATCAATGAAGCCACTCCGGACTTGGCCTCCTAGAGACTTTGAGCATAGGCCCTCTGGTTGACCGGGGGCGAGAGCGCAGGAAATCGGCTGTGGCAACATTGGGGGCCATGCAGTTTGGTGCTTGGAAGCTGGGCTTGGAGCACTTGCAGGGTTTACTGCAATCACCGCCTGTTGCGGCGTGGAAAAACGCAGATTGGCATCAGACCTTTAAAAAAGAAGCGATCCCGCTGCCACTAGATATTTTAGATGCTCTGGAAAATGCAATTGTTGCACATAGTGAGGATGAATTATTCCTGTGCGGGCTGATGCTCATGTGCTGGGGTGGCCTTAAGTGGTGTGACCTACAACGAATAGAGTTGAGTTCTGTGTCTTGCCAGAGCGGTGTGTTGCGGGGCCTTTGTTGGCGGACCAAAAGCAGCCTGTCCCAGTTCCCTGCCTCCAGTTCCCTGTCCCAGTTTGCTGCCCCCAGTTCCCTGTCCCAAGTTCCCTGTCCCCAGTTTGCTGCCCCCAGTTCCCTGCCCCCCAGTTCCCTGTCCCAAGTTCCCTTCTCGTTTTGCTGCCCCCACGACTTGAGGCTCTACATACAGTAGTTGGAGATCAGCCTCGTCTGAGATCCACCTGTAGGCCTTGATCAGCGACTTGAGGTTCTACATAGTTCGAGATCAGCCTCGTCTGAGATCCACCTCGCTTTGGCTCAGTTCAGGCGTTGCTTGTGCGTACATGGAGATGCAAGCATCGATTTGGCTGAACTGTGCCAACCTCTGCAGTGTTGCCCCTGAGCACACCGATGTTTCGGAGGATGAAGAGACCCAGCCATTCCACGGCGGACCTAGCAGCCCGCACTCCCGGGTGTCTTCAAGGGATGATGACAGCAATCCAGGGTTTCCGGAAAATTTTGGGGAGAGACACCGCCTGCAGACCAAATGCTACATTGCATACAGGCTATGTATTGCGCCAGGAAGACCCGACTCAGTTCGGCTTCCAAGCTTGCCAGCACGCCGGCTGTGTGAATTTCACTGGCAATGACGTTGAGCCCTAACGCAGGGCCAGGCCGCTTTCCTGTGTGGTTAACCTGGACTTGCTGGGTCTTTAGTGATGCAGGGTCTGGCCCAAGTGTCCCCTATCATTGATCTGTGGCCGGGACTTGCGTGTCCAAAAATTGGCCGAGGTGTAAGACCTCAGCGTTGGTCCCTATAGGGCTTGCCGTGCCCTCGTGTTTAGCCTTCAGGGAGTAAGGCTTTGTTGCGTTGGGGCATTACAGTTGCGAATTTTGTAGGGCGCAAGGCTTCCTGCCTTAGGGGCTTTATTTCGGTTACTGCAGCATAATGTGTCTCCCACTTTGCACAAGCGTGCCTTCTCGTGTTGGATAGTTCGTGGTCATTCGCGGCTGCCGACTCACTTGATTGAACTTGCTTTCTTCTTTTGCTTATGGCTACTTCGGCTTGGGAGAACTATTTGGTGGCAGCCAAATTGCCGGAGGATGCGCGGGCCAAGCTGCTGGTACTAGGCTTCGACACAGAGGAAGCTTTAGTTCAAAGATGAGGCGACTTTTGAGCAGTTCGCCAAAGACTTCCTGATTACGGAGCTCAAGTGCCCTGGCGTGACAGTTGACAACTGGTCATACAAGCCCTTGGTCCAGAAGCTTCGGGCACTGTTGGACCGCAAGTGCAAGCCCTCCCTGTGCAGAATGCCCTCGTCCCCGCATTGCCTCCTCCTCCCGCGGGAAAAGCTTTGACAGTGGCTGATCGAGACAGATTGCGCAGATCCATGAGCCTTCCGAACCTTGCCAAACAGCAGCATGACAGCAAAGCTTGGGAGATGGAAGAAGATATTAAGCGAGAAAGTCGCGTCGGGGCTGAAAGACAGGAAAACTGCATGGAAATCGTTGGAAGCCTTTCTGGCGAACTGCCAGGGTCAAGAGCAGGTCCTGGATCGAGACATCTCCAATGCCCCTTACCCCATCATGCAGCTGCTGCAAGTGCGGGCGCACGCCTATGCCATGGTTGGCTCTATCCTCACTTCCGGTTTTGCGCAGCGCAGGAAGCTGAGGAGGCCGATCAGTGCGCCGTGCGAGAAGTGTTTGGGCTCTGCTACTCGGGCGCCAGCTTAGATGACGCTTTGAGCACAATGACCATTGATCGCGACATGCTGCGTTCCTTGTTGATGCCCCGCCCCAAAATTGAAAAGCCTCCAAGTCGTGAGCCGCGCGAGCCCTTAAAGCGTAAGCAGCCTAAGCGCCGGCCCACCGGTGAATGCTTCAAATGGATTGCTGGGGAGTGCAAGCAGCGGCAATGCAAATTTAAGCATAAATGTGCTACATGTGGCTCACCCGACCACCATTCGGGAGCGTGCAGCAAAAAGTCACATCAGTGACTAGGGGTCGTCAAACTCCCCGAAGCGGTGGAGCTTGCTAATTTGAGGCCAAGCCCTCCGCCAGCGCAGCTAGTGCTTGAGCAAGAGCCTTCCACCTTCCAGCTGCGTGACGGTGGTGGCACCATCTCCACGGCCGATTGGTTCCAGCCCCAACAGGCCGACCTCGGGATTAAAGAGTGGGACTTGGTGCAAAGACTTGATGCTCATGCGCAAGCTCGTGCGCGCACTCCTTGGCTGAATGAGGAAGAAGTGCAAATACTTCGCAGTGATTTTGCCTTTTTTCTGAAAAGTCAAGGTGTTGCGGCCCCAGCGCGGAGATTTGTGCCGGGCAGCCGCTGTGTCTGAGTCGGGCAAACTAGGGATAGTGCAGAAAGCCGGAGCAGCTGCACGGTTGATAGGAGACAGCAGTGTGTCTGGTGCCAATGCCCAGCGCCGCATCAAAGAGCGCATCGAACTGCCCACGCTCAGCACCGTGGCCCAGTTCCTATCTAGACACCCTCAGGAGCAGTGGCTAGCGTTCAGGCTTGATTTCAGCAAGGCGCATAAACAGGTCAAGGTACACCCGGCAGAACAGGGGCTCAGCACATTTTGCGTCAAAGACCGCAGCGGGGCTACAAAGTGGGTCTATTACAAAACCTGCCATTTGGGGTGTGCTTGGGCGGCGTATTGGTGGAGCAGGGTTGCTGCTGCCTTCATCCGTGTAGCACATCGATTCTTACATCACAGTCACTTCTGCATCTATGTGGACGACGCATTGGCATTGTTCCCGCACAGGGTAGCAGCTCCCATGGCCTGCCAGCTACTGATCCTGGCCTGTGTACTTGGCTTTGGCACAAGGTTGACCTTGGCGACCAGCTAAGTTGGATAGGCTGGGATTTGGCGTTTTCAGGGCTGCCCCAGCGCATTCTTGCCAGCATCAAAGCTGGAGGCCATGCTTAGCAGTCTGCAGCAGATTTGTGCAACACCCCGCAGGGTGAACCGGAAAGAGCTACAAACCCTGGTTCAGGTCTTGTGTGGTACACCACAGGAGCTTTTTGGCTAAAACCCCGGCTGCAAGTTTGGTTTCATATGCTGGGCAAAGTGCGACTGCGCTTTCAATCGTTACAACGCGAGCAGCTGGAAGATTTGTATCATTGCTTGGATAGGGACTGCAGGGTATCCCGCCTTCCCCGGCTTTGTGATATTCAGGCTGGCTGGAAACTGCTAGAGATTGGTGGCCACGCGGTACAAAACCGGGCTGACATATTGTGTGCGCCCCTCAAGCGTGATCAAGCCTGGCTAAAATTTGGTGAAGACGGTTCAGCAGAGATTCGCTTATCCTCTGAAGAGCTTGCAGTGGCCCGGTTTTTCATGCGGTTGCTTCAACATGCGCCGGTGCATTTGGTTGACCTCCCCGGTCCCTGCGTTGTGGCGGCAGCGGATGCCTATGCAGAAGGGACCCGGGCTGGTGTGGGCGGTTGGTTCCTGCCAGAGGGTGCAGAGCTCCACCCGCCCAACATCTTCTGGTTTTCCTGCGAAGTAGAATGGGCTGCTTTACCAGCTTGGTTTACAAAAGATTTGCGTGATTTGCAATCGGCCATTGCAGCCTTGGAGGCCCTAGCCCAGTTGATCCTTTTGTCGTGCCAGCGGTCGCAACTATCTTTGGAAGCAAAGATGGGGAGAATTTCTCTTCGTCAACAGTGCGACAATATGGGTGTAGTGTGCAGCACAGCAAAGCATTTGCCCATGAAACAGTCGGTGCTGGAGAGTGACCCCCGCACTCTCACAGCGGCTCTCAGATCCAGGACTTGGTTGTTGGCTTCAAAAGCTGACCAGATTTGAGTTGCAGCTTGGTTGATTGCGCTTGACTGGAACTATGTCTTTAGCAGGGCTGCGTTTCAGATCTTCCCACAAGGAAGCCCTCCGGAGACCATGAGTGGTTCCTACATCTATGCAGGTGCCGGCCGGATTTCGCGAATGGGAGTTTTCTGACCAGAGAGCGAATGGAGCACACGAACCAGAAGATCAAGAAGAAGATGGTTGAACTCAAGGATCAGGCCATCAGGTCTGGACCATCTCCTGTAAGGATTCCCGAACGTGGACGTGAAAGACGCGGAAGACAAGGACCCCTTGGCGGCCGGAAGAAGAAGAAGAAGAGTTGAACACTGACGCCTTTGCCTCACCAAAGAGCCATGAATCCTTTGCACTGGATGTTGGGCGTCAGATGTGGGAAAGGCTTGTCCGGAAACACCAAGACTGTGGTCCTGGACGTTTGCCTCGGTTGACTTCATTGTCAAGCGGCAATGGGCTTGGCGAAGTTGATGGGGGAGAGCAAAAGCAGCAGTGGGATTGGGTGACCAGAGATAGAGTTGTGCAGGGTGGAAGAAGGTGGGCTACTTTGCACCAACTTGTCACAAGCGCTCACGGAGGAAACTGGCTGCAGTGACCACAAAGTCTACGTTTTGAACGCTTTGTGAGTCTCTCACAAGCCATGTTGGAACACACCTTGACATCCTCAGGAGAGGTGTTGGAGCAGAGGCAGGCGGACGTTTCTCGGGAGAGAGTGAAGACAGGGCTGCATCAGAGATTGGGACCGTCGATTCGTCGAGTGAAGGCTGAAAGCATTTCACTGAACTTCCCAGGGTCCGTGACAGGCCCCGAGGAAGCAGAAAACTTAGGTGCACTGGAGGCGCGCGTGAATGAGGGCGCGGCATTTCTTCATCTATGCCAGTGAGCAAGGATGAGCGCCCATGGAGAAGTACAAGGGTTTGATGCGCTGGCGCCAGTCAGGGGTGACATGCGAAACAGCTTGATGGCTGAAGGATGCAAGGTTGTTCCAAGCAGGTGGGTGGATACCACCAAGAACGTCCACGAAGCAGGCAAGCCAGATGACGGTGCCAAGATTGCTCCTGATGTCTCAACGCCGCTGCCACGATGACCGCATCCCTGACAATGCGCTTTTGACGCACAGAGTTCCAATTTATGGGACCAGAGATGCAGGAAAACGATTCTTACTTGAGGACACATTCTGAGATCCTGGCGACTGGATTTCAGGCTTCTAAGATCTGCCCATGAACATACTTCACAGAATGACGCTGGCAGCATTGTGGCATTGATTTGCACTCATGTTGGCGATCTTTTGACCACGCGCGCAGGTGAAGGACCGGAAGCAGTTCAGACAGTGCTGGACAACTCCTCAGCCGAGAAGATTGAGGAAGGCTCATTTCAATACGGTGGAAGACGCTTCACCCAGGACCCACTCTACAACGTGCACATTGACGTCCAGGACAACAGAAAGGGAATTAAGCCCGTGACAATTTCACCCGGACGGTTCTTTGGCATGGGTGAGTAGGTATGGGGGACCTGACCCTTGCTACAAGGTGAACGATGCAGAGGATGCGCAGTGGACGCAAGCGACGTTGAATGAATGAATTGGCACTCCAAGAAATTGGGTTCAAGACTGCTTGTCAGATGCGAGCTTTGCAAATGAACCTCGGTAAAGTCTCAGCAAGGGAGGATTCATAAGGATTCATTACCTCACCAGGAGTGATGGCCCAGGAGGAAAGCATCGATTCATATGCGGACCTTGAAGAGAGTGTGCAGAGCAGCAGGTCGGGCAGAAGCATATGCCCCACAGAATGCAGTAGAGGCAGGGGATCGCTTGAGGGCAATTTCGCGAATTGCTTGGACGCATTCAGTCAATGTTGATCTGGCAGGAAAGCCACAGGAAGATGAACACTTCTATGCATGAAGCACTTCTATGATTCTATGGGACTCGTTCACCCAGCGACCACCTCAATGCTGAAGACGGCTTAGAATCGAACTGTCGGGCCTGAGACCAGGCTTGTGGCTTGATGGAGAGGAATGGATCGCTGCGCCGCGCGCAAAGACGAACTCCAAGGGACGGACACTGCTTGCTCATTGTCTGACAAAGACCATGAGGCCGGACTGCTTGATTGCGTGTTGGCCAGCGGTGAAGCAATGATCAGTGGAATCGAAGCCTGAGAGTTAGGTTCCAAGAATTCGTTCCTGGCATGTGAATTTTTCACTCCATCGGAATCGAGAACCCAATGCAAGATCCTTTGGATGTACAAAGAACTGCGTAGATATGCTGGGTGTGATTTTGCCTCATTTCAGCATGTACAGAACCAAGCTTTGTCACTGCCCCTGATAGGGCCGCTGAGACGAGTCGAAACGGATCGTGTTGGGACTAGAAATACGATAGACCCAACGGAGCACATTCATCACTGAGTCTAGGGCGTCATACCGAGCATACTCAGGCCTGGCGGCTGTTTGAAGAAATGCAGGAGATGAGTTTCGAACCCAATGACACTTGGAGTCAAACCGGGTGAAAAGAATCTCTATTGCTAATATTTCCGGAGTTCACATCCTTGAGGCCCTTACCTATGCGGCACTTTTGGCGGTGTCTTCTCCAAAGACGGGCTTGGAACTGTTGAAACAGATGCCTGTGGTGTCCCTGCAAATTTACAGCCCCTTGGCCGAGTACAGAAGCCAAAATTGGGAAATATGTTTGGATGGATCCGATGCGTTTTAAAGCCATGCGTCCGGGCATTTTGTTAAGCCATGATCGGTTGCCAGACATGCCGTGGACTGCACAGGTGCCGCTGTGGGCCTTTGTCAGCGCATGAATGATTGGAGAACTGGACATCAACTCATACATGACATGCGGAGCAAGCGCTGTGATCCAGACGTCAGGGATGCCCAGATTCACTCGAAACCCATCCGGATTGCTGAGACAAAATACCGAAAAAACTGGACACGAAGAAGGAAAAGGGTCTGAGATGGTCGGAAAAAATCAATTAAATGGCAGCATTTGCCTTATCAACTCAAAACTTCCTCCAGGTGGTGACATACTCCTTTTTGATCAGCTGCCATGAGACGGCCAACCGCTGGCGTGAAGTCCCTCGGCAGATGGCCACCGCATGGCCATGAAATCCGAGTTGTCAACTGTTTTTCCGCTTCGTGCGACGGACCTTTTTTTTAAATAAGGCAGATAACCATAGGATCGGTGCTTGTTCAGACTCAGGATTTTTGTTCAGTCGTTGTTGTTTTTGCAGCTGAGTCGTTGACCACTTTTGGCATGCGTTTGATCCGACAGGTTGGCCACACGTTTTTCATGTTTTTCTCCGATTTGAGGTGCCAGATCTCCTAGCCCAGTTGCAGGAATTTATTCTTTAGAGTCCCGTGGCGCAGCCAAAGCTGAGAAACCCTGTGACTCTTTGGTCTGAAAAGCTCGTGCGGTGCGCAGAGACCGACCAATCGGAAGCTGCTGAATAAGACTTTCAGCTCTTGGCTGGGCCTTTGGGAGATGTTCACACCTCCGAAATTGAGCGATTGTGTTGCTCATTTCTCACTTGGTCACTTGGTCTTTGTTCGCATCTTTTTGGCCTGTGTCCAGGCTGCTGCGAGGAGCTTGCCTGGTGCATCTCATCAAGAGGCGTAGTGAGCGGCTGTGGGTTCGTTGTCCTTTTTTCCAAGTCTTGCTCGTTCAGATGCTCTTTTTGAAGGGCAAGGTAAGCGTGGCCTATGGGCCACAGCCTAGGCCTAGGCCCCTCAAAAAAGGAGCCCTTCAGTTCCGGTAAAGACTGTGCTACACAGGTGGAAGCCTACATCCACGGGCCGGTCTTGGCAGCGCATCCCAAGCTGAAGGATCATTTGGCACCTCGGAGAATTCGGGACAGTTTCGAGAGAAGTGATGTGATTCTTGTGATTGTCCTTTCAACCTGGAAATTTTGGGGATTCTGCCGTAAGACTAGCTTGTTCATGTTTTTCCTTTTTTTTGCCCGCTCCTAATTAATTGAGTAGGCGCCTACTTCATTCAGTAAGGGCGACTAGTGCACTGCTGGGAGAAGTAAGCTACTAGGCTAAGTGAGCTTCTACATCTGGACGCAGGATAGATCGTCGCAGGACGCCGATTTGGTTCCGAACGATGTGATTTGTGGTCCGGACCAGTCCCCCTCACTCCGTTCCAAGGCGGAGCTTGCCAAGGCGGGGCGGGGCCAACGCCCAGCCGACCATCCACGGACGAAGAAAAGAGCCCAAAAGCGGAGAATGGCCGTTTTTTGGGTCTTCACAGAATTTTGAATTCGTACTGAGGTGAAGTAGTGAACGGTAACAAGTGCCACGCTAGTAGTAACAAGTGCCTTACTAGTAGTGAACGGCAAACCGGCAAAGACGTTGAAACACCAAACCTGTGACTTGCTGTGGCGTCACCCGGCAAACCCGACGCTTTTGACGGGAGACGACGTCCCAGGTGGAGGGCTTGGGAGTTGGCTGGCGGCAGCTTGCTGAAGCTCAGGGGGCCGCACCTGTGGAGGTCGGCGGGGCGACGCTACGAACGGGGCTCCTGGCATCGCTACCAAGGGAGCATTCTTACTACGAACGCAACAAGAAGCTATTAGAAACGATAGTTTAATTAGAATTAACACAAGAAGCTACTAGGACCTTTTCGCGCGCGCGCGGGGAGGGTAGGAGCCAGAAAGAATGCTCAGTTTGTAGCGATGCCAGGAGCCCCGTTCGTAGCGTCCTTGCTCCTAGTAGCGATGCCCTTTGCTCAGTATGTGTTTGCTGCACAAGAAATCTAATAGCGAAAGAACCGATGAGTTCTCCTTCCCCCCAACGAAATGAATGTCAACGCCTTGTTGTGACCGAACGGAGTCCAGCAATGCTTCTGACAACCCACTTGTGACTACTAGCAATGGTCGGATGCATGCGAAAATCGACCAGTCGTACAGAACTTGTCCCTCGAAGGCCTCCGCTGAAGTGCTGGGCGCAGCTGCCGCACTCCAAGATATGCAGGAGAGCCCTCCAGGATACACAGCGCGACGCACGGGTCGCAGCGCGCCTTGCCATGTGTACTCAGTGTGCTCCAGTTGGTGAAGTTCTGCGAATTTGTTTGTCTTTGTTTGTGAGATGACATGTTCTTTTGGAATTCTCGAGCTTCTTGGGACATCTTGCGTCCCAGAAGTGGAGCTTGTCTCTCGCCTTCATTGATCTGAGGTGCCATACTTGCGCCTCGGAGAAGCTTTGTTCTGAAGCACTGTGGATCTTTTCACATGACAATAAAGACACTCAAAGACACGAGGCTCTCCTTCTTTGCTCAGTGAGGCTCTCCTTCTTAGAGGCGCCGCTTGACTTCACACAGAGCTTTCTGCGCGGCATCAGCGCCGACCGCACAGCGTAGCTGGTCCGAATGGTCCGCGTCCCGTCACCCCAGGTGCGGCTGCCCATCACGTGACCAAAGGGACCGGCCACCAGCTCCACCAGCTCCGCCTTTGCTGGCGCTGTTGCGTTTGGAGGAACTGGTGCGATCAACCTTCGTTGATGCGAGGGGTGAGGAGTGCCTTTGTGAGATCAAATTTTGCTTCACTTTTGAAGAGGTGGAGAGGTTTTTCAGGATTCTCTTGAACGCTACGATCGTAGCTCCTGGCCTTACTACTACTAGTAACAAGAAGCTACTAGTAGCTCCTGGCACCGCTACTAGGAGCAAGGACGCTACTCTTTTGTCGTTTTTGTTCTTCTCGCCATTGTCCCAGGAGCTCCTTGCAACTGGGCGACATCGGTTCTGTTCCAGAGAAACCTCTTCGAAAGAATCGCAAGATAGTTCAACAATTCCCCGTGATGTGTTTGTTCAATTAACTTTGAAATCACTTTGAAAAATGTTTCAGGAACTGTTCTATTTCCAGCCTTTCAAGGCCATGCTTTTGGAAATGCTGCACGCTCCAGTGTCCAGCGAGGGCAGCTTGCGTGCATTGCTTCACTGCTGCGCCCGCCTTACGTTCCTGAAGAGAATCACGGAATGATTGCATAAAAAAAACACCAGAGACAGAGACCATTGAGATTGCACATGTGCAATTTCATTTTTGCAATTGCAGCGATTGCTGACGATTCAAGTATACAAGAAGGATGTGCACTAAGATGGCCCATACAGAGAAGATGGTTTTGGTATTTGCTCAGATGTTTGCTAAACCTATTTGTCACATTTGTTGGCTGGGTCGAGAATACAAAACAAAGGACAGGACAGGACTGAAGGCAGATGACGTTAATTCTCTCCTGTGTTTCTTCCTGGCACTGAGAAAGTGTTTGTTTTTAACATTTGTGGCAATGAATAAGTGTCCTTTCCCTTTTGGCACTGAAAAAGTGTCATTGTTTGCTTTTCTTCCTCTTGTTTCTTCTAGTCTTTTTCTATAAACTTATGCCTGAATTCATTGTTCAGGGAGGGCCGGGGTACGAGAGAGAGAGAGGGAGGAACCAAAATAATTGAGGACGTCGATGTGGGTTTGTTCATGTTTGTTGTTGGTGACTTAAAATGACATACTAGCCTCCCCGTTCATTCAAGTGCCATTCGCAAAAAAACGACAAGAAGAGGTGGAGATGCCATGTGCAAAAGCGTAAAGCCATATGCCAACTATGTGTGACCGACACTAAATTCATGGAAGGGTCGAAATGATTGAATCGACCATTTCTGAATGTGTGTGGTACGGTTTGCAGAGGTGACGGCAACACTGCGTAGCAGACTCAGCACACGGTGTTCACGTCAAAAGTGTTCGCCAGGTTCAGGGTGTCGCGTTACCATGTCTTCAGGGTGTTCCTTCTGTGGCCATGTCCAACCGAGATTTTGGGCCCTCTCTGCGCACAGCGAGAAACAGTCGTGTGCTTTCCAGCATGCGAAAGCAGTGACCATCCAGACACTGGAGACCGAGGAGAGAGTGGCGCAGCACCGGTCGTGCTTTTTTCATTTTGTCCTAAGAGCGATGGCCTCCAACCTGCAAGCGATGCGAGCGATGGCTTCCAACCCAAGAACGATGGCCTCCAACCTGCGAGCGATGCCCTCCAACCTAAGAGCGATGGCCTCCAACCTAAGAAGGATGGCCTCCAACCTGCGAGCGATGGCCTCCAACCTAAGAGCGATGGCCTCCAACCTGCGAGCGATGGCCTCCAACCTAAGAGCGATGGCCTCCAACCTAAGAGCGATGGCGTCCAACCTAAGAGTGATGACCTCCAACCGGCGAGCGATGGCCTCCAACCTAAGAGCGATGGCCTCCAACCTAAGAGCGATGGCCTCCAGACTCCAACCTAAGAGCGATGCCCTCCAACCTGCGAGCGATGGCCTCCAACCTAAGAGCGATGCCCTCCAACCTAAGAGCGATGCCCTCCAACCTAAGAGCGATGGCCTCCAACCTAAGAAACCTAAGAGCGATGGCCTCCAACCTGCGAGCGATGGCCTCCAACCTATGAGCGGCCCTCAAACCTGCGAGCGATGGCCTCCAACCTAAGACCGATGGCCTCCAACCTAAGAGCGATGGCCTCCAACCTAAGAGCGATGCCCTCCAACCTAAGAGGGATGGCCTCCAACCTAAGAGCGATGGCCTCCAACCTAAGAGCGATGCCCTCAAACCTAAGAGCGATGGCGTCCAACCTAAGAGCGATGACCTCCAACCTGCGGGCGATGGCCTCCAACCTAAGAGCGAAGGCCTCCAACCTAAGCGCGATGGCCTCCAACCTAAGAGCGATGGCCTTCAACCTAAGAGCGATGCCCTCCAACCTAAGGTCGATGGCCTCCAACCTAAGTGCCATGCCCTCCAACCTAAGAGCGATGGCCTCCAACCTAAGAGCGATGGCCTCCAACCTGCGAGCGATGGCCTCCAACCTAAGAGCGATGGCCTCCAACCTAAGAAACCTAAGAGCGATGCCCTTCAACCTAAGAGCGATGGCGTCCAACCTGAGAGCGATGGCCTCCAACCTAAGAGCGATGGCGTCCAACCTAAGAGCGATGGCCTCCAACCTAAGAGCGATGGCCTCCAACTCAAGAGCGGTGGCCTCCAACCTAAGAGCGATGCCCTCCAACCTAAGAGCGATGGCCTCCAGCCTAAGAGCGATGCCCTCCAACCCAAGAGCGATGCCCTCCAACCTAAGAGCGATGGCCTCCGGTCTTGGTTGGTGTCGTCTTCGAGTGTTCTTGCTAGGATGACTTGGGTGAAAGGGTTGAAGCCCGTTTGGAGTGGCAGATGGTCAGCATCTCAGTTGAGGTTTCACATTTTCTGGCTCAATGCAGTTGATTCCCCAAGCCCTTCTTCATTTCCCAGCGGCTACTGTATATAGGGCTTCTCATTTTGTGTTTGTTTCGACAATGACAAGGATCAAGTGCTTAGCCATCCAGCCATCCTGAATCTTCGGCA